AGGTATAATATGACTAAAGGAATGAACACGTTATAAGATTTAGCAGGTCAAATCTTCAACATATTCTCTTACATCCTGAATCTATTTGACGACATTAAGCGCAGAAGAATTTTAGGTTTTTCTATCTTTAATGTTTGAAAAATGCTGTTCTTGAGCCATCACTCTTGCGTAACTCACTTTAAACTGTCGCGAAATGCCTGATCTTTTTCGCCTCTTCTTAACAGTCGTACTCCATTATTGCTTTCTCTATGTAAATAACCATAATGTGAGAGGTATTCCTGAAATAAGGGAGTATAATAATGATTGTAAAAATTACAGCTCGAAATTATAGAATAGGATTACATAGTCAGTTAGTCAAAAAAATATGTGCAACTACGTACTTCTGCAATCTGCTCGTCAGGGCTCTTAATCGCAGAAACTGTTGTGGTAACCAGTAGTAGAACCAGTAATGTTTGCATCTAAAATCGTTAGCTTTACAAGGTGGGAAACTTTGGCCATGATCACTGTTTGATAATAATATCGTCAAAGTTGCTAAAGTAGCGGGGAAAAAAGAAAAAGAGGGTTAAAATATGTTATTTAAAATCTGCTATTTCAAAACTGACTGCTTTTTGGACAACAACAGCAAACTCTGATTTGGTCCCGGACTTTCGGTGCTTTTATAGTTATCTGGTGGAGAAAAAATAACTTAAGTGCAAAGTATTTTAATAGTGCAATAAGAGTATCTCTTACAGAAGACGGAGTAAATTTTGTTCAAAAAAAACTGCACTTCAAAAGATGCGTAAGAAAAAAAAGAAATTTACCTTTAAATCTTCTATTTTTTTATTTTGAATTTAAAATAAAAAGCAAATAAAAAGCACATCAAACGGCAGTTTTTTGACAAATAAATCAAAGTTTGGAGAAAAAAGAAAAAAAGTTTTGTTTACTTAATAATTAATCTTAAATCGCGTCATATCGAAATTTCTGATATACCATGTTTTAACCACTTTTTCTGATCTCTAGTTCGTGATCTGTTGGTGATGTACTGCCAAAATCGCGTGGGTGGTTTACAGGATGATATTATTCAAAAGTATCCCCTGGTCTTCCACTGAAGACAATTCAAAATGTCCTGCCTGGCCAATTGGGTTTTCATTTGCTCATCATATTTTCTGTCGGTGCTCAGTAGTTCAATGTGATTGCTGAGGTTCTTGTAAATTTAGGTCGGAACTTGAAGTGGAAATACAGTAGCTTACTTTTCTGATTTTCTGCTTATAGTGACAATTAAATACACTATTAGTGACGAATTACAGTTAGATAAAATTTATGAAATAAAAAGCCTTTAAATTTTGGTAAATAAGACGAAGATTTTTGCATGCAAACCTCACACTGCTGTGTCTCTTAACAGCTTCCTCTATAATCCTGAATTCTCTGTAACTCATTGAAAAGTAGGTAGTTGAATTATATTTTAAACTAAGGCGCGATTATTCTTGTGTGTTTTCACATAAGGTCGTTGTAACCTTATTCAAAACAAAGCAGTTTGTATGCGTCAATATTTTTACATTTAATTGTGAATATTCAAACATGAATATCTAAATACCAAGAAAAAAAATTTCGTTGAAAAGTTGTTATCAAATTTAAAAAGTAGTTAAAAAGACTAATGCTTATAAACATAGGTTTAAACAAACTTTTCTACGATATAATTTACAAAACTTCAAAAAAAAAATTATTCACTGCATAACAATTATTAAGAGCAAATAACAGATTCAACGTAGCTTTACCAAATCTGTATATGTGCACAAGTCGTCGTCATCGGCATGAGAAAACTTTTTTTTTCTTTCTGAAACAACATGCTGTTGCGTGTCTTTCCGCGCCACGTTGGCGCTCGTGTTAGCCGAACCAAGAACATTTTAAACAGTTTTCTGCACATTTAAGTAGATTAATCCCCGAAGGAAGGAAAAAGTTCTTTTGCCAAATTTCACTCTATTTAGTTATTCTCGAATCACTGTCTGGATTTAGGTAAATAAATAATTATTTTTTTGAATGGTCACTGGTTGCGGTGATATTTTGGAGCATGTTTAATATTTGTGGGACCATTTGAGAAATAAAATTAAAATTTTGGTTGTGTTAAAATGGAAAATTAGTCAAGTCAGCGTTTTAAAGAAGTTATTGCTTATATTTTTACATACTGTTTAAAAAGCTCAGTTGTGATAACCATTTTCAAAAACTTTTTGAATAACCTGACTAAAACTATAATAAACAATTACTTCACAAAAATTGTTACTGCAAATTTGTCTAAGTATATGTCAAAAGCTGTTTGTTGTTTAAAAAACATATCTGTCTCCAAACTAAAAGTAGTAAATTTTTTTCTTAGTTAAACAATTTTAAATTAAAATTGAGAAGTTGAAATGTTCACCTAACCTAATTTGGCTTTATTTCGTAGTAATGGGCATCGTCGCTAAAAAGCGAGTTAAGTAAAAAGATTAGGGGAAAAAATTGGCAAGTCTGCACAGATCATCAGCGGTTAGGTCACCGAGGTCTAAACTTATCCGTGAATAGTATCAAGCACCATGGGTTATTATTTACAGAAATTGTTTGCAAAGCTGTACAGATTGCACTCAGTCAGGGCATAAGGGTCTAATTTCAACCGTAACTCAAGATTAACCCCAAGATGAGCTAAAAAAGCAATCTGGAACTATTGACAGTGCGTTGTAAATATCCAACTTAATCTGAAACTGTTATAAACCGGTAGCGGATTATTCCAATCAAGCTGAAAGCCACATCTTAACGTCGACAGATGGCGATTGTCTAAAACACTATATAAGGGAGTCTCGGAGTGAAGCTAGATCAGTTTTTTCTTTTTCATTATCAAACTTAGTTTCTCCTTCATTCTTCTAACGCTATTTATGAATGTATATTTATTGTAAAGATGCTTTTTTTTAAACTTATTTTCGTTCTGTGTATTAATTTGTAGCCTATAAACATTTGTCTGTATAACTTAGCTAGTACTAATATGGTTTAATTACCCAAGTTTGAGGTTTGGAATAAACTTATTGAACCTAATAAATCCCTGGTGGCAGGCACAAGAGTCACTCACAAGTTTTATTGGAAATAAAAGTGTGAGAGTATACTGAAGAAAAGAGGAGCTAATCCTTTGGGCACAATACCTAACTCAGAGAATCCAGCTGTCCTAACCGTCATCAATAAAAGGGAAACGCTGACCAAAAATGAAACCAGTGGACAGAAGAAAAACTAATAAACAACGAACCAAAAAAAATTTCTTCTCTTTTCTTTACAGGCATAATTTTTAGTAAAGTAACTTCAGTTCACCTTAAGCCACATTCAATAAAAAACAAAAGTTGTAGAAGGGTTTCTATAAAACGATAAGCGAGTGGTAAGTTTAAAATAAAAGAACAGTGAAGTATATGATAGAGACTTCTTGGTTTATTTAAGCTCACTTTGAATTATTTGGGCCAAAATTTACTGCATGTGGCTCTCTATATAAATAAAATTCGATAAAGGTTCTTGTGGTCAAAAAGACCACTTATTTTATAGAATTTCAAATAAAAAGGCTAGCAGTGGAAACAGATCGCGAACTGATTCGATGTCTGCGATCCTACGTCTTTGTTGTGACACCTTTTTGCACACCAGTTTATCTAGTTCTCCAGTAACAGCCCATTCTTCTTTCGTTTAAAGCTTCAAAAAATCTCAGTTTTTTAATTCAAATTTGCAAAATTTTTTAGTTAGCTGACTGCTTAGAATTCTTTACGTTTGAATGTGTAAAGGAAAACAAGAAGTAAAAACATGAATAGAATCAAAATTGGGACTGAACATAATTGGCTTTATCGCGGTAGGATATTTTTGTTATTACAGCTGTTGAAAAGGGCAAATAGAGTATTATTAAAGCACAGAATGAGATAAGCAGCAAAATTGTTAAAGAAATTAGCATTTTAAAACATCAAAAATAAACTGAATTTAAAATAATTATTGTCTACGGTTCCAGACTATTTTCTGTCACTCTGTTTATCTTAACAAAGTTAAAAATTGGCTAGTTCTCAAAACTTCTCAAAATCCATATCTTTTGCGTGGTTGATTGCCGTAAACAGTTGGTTTATTCTGACCTTAACCGTTTCAAAGTTTGGATTTTGTTGTGTTACAATCTACTCGATCTTTAATCAGGCATTGTCGGCTTCCTTCTGCAATAAGCCTAGCATTAATAACCAGGTGCATGTTGACTAAGTAGAAAGCCCACTTAATTTTTACTGTATTTTATAGTCTTTTTACATCCGTAACCTTCACAATTAGTACGTGACAATTGTTAAAACTTGGTCGTCCTTCTTCTGCTGGTTATTTTCTTGCCTAGTGAGCCAGTAAAGAAGTTGCTGCTATCAACATTTGAAGGTTTTTTGTAATACCTTACAATCAGTCCACTATCGTGATGAATGACGGCACAAGGGTACTGTCTTGATTAACCAATAAAATCTTTAACGCGGAGAAATCACGTAGTGTTGCTCAAAGTCTCCCCCATTTGTTCTCAAGAAAACCTTAATGTACAACCCTACTGTAAGAAGAAATTTCGATTGTTTGAGAAATTCAAGATATCATCTTTCTTTCAAAGGCGGGCAAGCTTGGTGGCTAGGAGAACCGATAACACTATGTCGACAACTACTACTTTATTTTCTTAACTATTTTATTGCTCTATAAATTATTAATTGATAGTGCTAACAATAAATCGAATGCTAAAATTTAAAATGATCATAAAGAAACCTTCTGGACACAAGACTCAAAAGCTTCCCTAATAAGTGCAAATAATAACGAAAGAAACAAATCAGTACAAAATAAATCAGAGAATAAATACCTGGTAATTAAGGTCATTTTGAGTTGAGAATCTTTATTGATTTTTTTAGAAGAAAGCTTTTCACGATTTTGGCAAGCTGTTTTATAGTACGCAGTAATGCTTTTGCACTGAAAATGGCAATTTTCTCGTCTTCGTCTCAAGCGTCCTACTTTTGGATAGTTGATAGGGCTTCCTTTGGTTGATTTGACCGCTTTTTACAGAAAGCTAAGTTGTGAGATTTTCTGCAATGATAGCAGGGACACCTTACGGAAACAACTGCTTTTCGTTTGGCCTGTTTACAAATACTTGAAACCCCTTAGCTCGGTCGACGACGTCTTTTACGTTGGTGTAGCTATCGACTGCGCCTGATTTTGCGGACATTTCCAACAGATAAACCTTTTCCTGCATTTGAGACCAAAGCAGTTTCCTGTTTTTTCAGGATAAGCTGAATCTGGGAATTACTTGACAAGGACTCAGCAGGTTATAGCTAGTTATTTGCAACTTCTTTGTACAGATTTGAAGCAACAGCAGATGTGGCAATTTAGGTCTAATAAACGATTCAGGAGCGACGTTTTTCGCACCATTTTCGTTTTGATGGTCTAACATTTCTAGAATTCTTTCACTTTGATCATAGTCGACATTGATTCA